TGAAAATTCAACTGAGCAGTTTAACAAAATTATTATTGATTGACATTTTTGAAAACAATATGTTGTATACAATATAATATAGCAGTGGTTCTCAAACTTTTTTCACCAAGTACCACCTCAGCAACAGAATTTCTCTCCAAGTACCACCATAATGACCAGTTTTGAAATAGTATAGCGTATAGTCTTAATTAAGCAGCTACAGCTCTGCACAGTTCAAAAACGTGGCAGATTAATTCCTTTTATGAATATTTATTATTGTCAGCCACTTTTAACAATATTAATAGTTTAAACATTAACTAAAACATTAAATATAAATAAAACATCAATGTGTGCTTTTAAAAGTTAATTAAAAATGGCACTGTTCTTAAAGTAAACAGAAAACTGCTGTGCTTAAATGTAAAGTATAACATAGTAGCCTATTCATCAAAACCTGGAAATTTTCCTTGGATATCATCATATTCATTTATAAACTCTTTTTGATAAATTTTTAAATATATACTTATTTGTATATCTTTGAAATCTAAACATTACTTCTAATGTTTCTAAACATTACTTGTATTTTAAATATATATCATATATTTACATATTTAAATTAGAAACTAGATCATTAGATCTGCTTACTGCGCGTTAGAGTAGGCTTTGTGTGTCAGAAAAGGGATTAAACTATAGCTGTCAACCTTAGGATATAAAAATATGGAATACGCAATAACAACTATTAAAAATATGGAAAGAAAATTAGCTTCAAATGGTAGAATACAAAACAAACATTAAAAAAATTAAAATAAACTAAAAGGTTTATCAGTAAATTTACTGATCACATCTGTGTTATCGTATGCGTTAAAAGTGTGTTAATTTTTTACTTTAATTATTCAGCAATTCCTCCGCGTACCACTAGAAAGAAGTCTGCGTACCACATGGTACACGTACCACAGTTTGAGAAGCACTGCAATATAGATTTAAGTCCAGCTCGAATACTGGCCGTTTATTAGCAGGTTATAGGCCTACTGTAATTTACAACACTAATCCAGACAATATATCACATCAAACAAATAAAAATGTCAATAAAAGTAATTTTTCCAAACTTTTCAACCTCAAAAGTTGTTGGAGGAAAGATCAGGATCCCATAATGCAATTCAAAACCACACATAAAGAAACTAACTAACATATCTATTTAATGAATATTTTTACAGTGTATTTCAAAGAGGAAATATTAAAATTCGTACTTTTCCACAATAGCTCCGAGCATTGAGTAAAACAATGCCAAACAGGGTACAAATCTGCGTTGCATAACCCATGAATTAGCGTAAAACTGGTCGAGTCCACATCCCAAAATGCATTTCACAAACCCAAGAAAGCCGCTTAAAAGTTTTCCCACATTAATAATCAGATTGTTTGTTTATAAATAGACAAGTCTTCTCATCGATTGTTTGTGGAGGTCAAAGATTATGGCTTTATCTTTAAGGGGCTTTGTTTTGGCTTTTTTAGAGGAGGATTATTGAACGCCTTTCTATTGCATAATTCTTCAGAAATATTTCCTTTCACAGAGGCTTGTATTTTCTTATAAAAGTACTTCACAAACTTAATTCTGACAGAGATTGTTTTTGTTAAGCTAAGCCTCAATCTTAGTAATCTATTCTTTTTTCTTTTACTGATCTTTCTGTTGTCAATGTTAAAAAAAAGCATGCATGTCATATTGGAGCATCAATTATCGTTTATTTTTGTTGCATGAAAGCAGCAACTCAGACTTCCTATACCAATAACATCTCCTTCATGTGTTTCACAGAAGAAATATAAGCTTTGGAAAACACGAGAGTGATGAAATGATGCTTTTTTGGGGCTGAACAATTTAAACACTCCCTGTCAGAAATAGGCAACAGTGGAAAGAACATTTTGTACAGTCATTTCATAATGGTTGTTTTGCAGGTTTTATAACAGTCAGTGGAGGGTCTCTGCTGTTTTTCCAGCTAATCATCTCAGTAACGGAAGTGTGGTAATCCTGAAAGTTCACTCAAATGGAAAAATGAACTAAAAAGCAGAGTTAAAACCCAAAACACATCTCTGTGAGTAGAGAAACATGCTCAAAACAAACTGAGTCATGCTGTTTCATGAGTATTTCAGTATATATCATAATCACATTTTTATTTGCATATGTGAAGCATGAATGTTTATATTTGAGCATTTTAAATAAGCAAATATACATTTATATTTACTAAAAATTGCTAATTAATTTTGTAATTTTTACGTACTGTATATACACATAATTAACATAGCAAGTACAAACTTTAATATTGGGTATGTTTAAATGGGAAGAATCATTGGATAGCACTAATATACTAATACAGTTGAAGTATTAGAATTATTAGCACTCATGTTAAATTTTTTTTATATACTTATATATATATATATATATATATATATATATATATATATATATATATATATATATATATATATTTTTTTTTTTTTTTACTTTATATATATATATATTTTTTTATTATTATTATTATTATTTTTTTATAATATTTGACTAGATATTTATCAAGATACCAGTATTCAGCTTAAAGCAACGTTAAAGGCTTAACTAGGTTAAAGTTAGGTTAATTAGGCAAGTCATTGTATAACAGAGGTTTGTTCCAAGAGGTGTTGTAGCCAATCGAAACACATATGCTTAAGGGGGCTAATAATATTGACCTTAAAATGGGTCTTTAAAAATTTAAAAACTTCTTTTATTCTAGCCGAAATAAAACCAATATGACTTTCTCTAGAAGAGAAAATATTAAAGGAAATACTGTGGGAAATTCCTTGCTCTGTTAAGCATAGTTTGGGAAATATTTAAAAAAGAATAAATATTGCACAGGGGAGTGAATCATTTTGCTCGCAACTGTACATCAAATTTAATTAAAAAGTATTTTCCATATTGCAATTATCTGCAAATATTCTGCTAGTTATTTATAATTTATCTTCAAATAAGTTGAGTACAAGTGATTACAATTTTATGTGATTAAAAAAAAAATTAAAGAAACAATAAATCATTCTCTGAAACTTATGATTTTCTAAACGTGTGTAATAAAACAAGTAAAAAAAAAGATATAATAATGATAATTCCTTGCATTTATATAGCACATTTCTGAACGCTCAAAGCGCTTTACACATTGCGGGGAATCTCCTCATCCACCACCAGTGTGCAGCATCCACCTGGATGACCCGACGGCAGCCATATTGTGCCAGACCACTCACCACACACCGGCTGATTAGTGGAGAGGAGACAGAGTGATGAAGCCAATTATGGTATGGGAGGATTGGGAGATCAAGATGGACAGAGGCCAGTGGGTAAAATCCTTACTCTTTTCAAAGGACATTCTGGGATTTTTAACAACCACAGAGAGTCAGGACTTCAGTTTAAAGTCTCATCCGAAAGACAGCACTCACTGAGCAGTATAGAGTCCCATTCAATATACTAGGGTGTTAGAACCCACGCAGACCACAGGTTGAGCGCCCCGTTTGTCGTAATAACACCATTTCCGGTAGCAACCATAGCTTTCCCATGTGGTCTCCCATCCAGGTACTGACCAGGTGCAGCCCTGCTTAACTTCAGTGGGCGATGAGAGATGCAGAGAGCTATCTGCCATATATAGATATAGTTTTGACAAGGTGTGCGTGCCGTGTATATTTAATATGTATATATAAATACAAACATGCATGCATATACTGTATATGAGAAGCTTTTTTTTATATATATTTAGATATAAAATATATTTATATGATAGAAATTATATATAAATTTAAATATCTATATAACAAAATTGCTTTGTATACTTTTGTTTCTATGTATGTGTGTATCCTATATAGATAATAAATATATACACTACCTGACCAAAGTCTTGTCGTTGATCCCAGTTGTAAGAGCAACAAATAATATCTTTACTTCTAGTTGATCATTTGGTAAAGTGGCAGAAGGTGGATTTTATTTTAGAATCATCTGTTGAGCTGCATCCCAATCATCATAAATACTGCAGAAGACCAACTGGAACCCACATGGAGCCAAGATTCTCACAGATATCAGTCAAGTTTGGTGAAGGAAAACTCATGGTTTGGGGTTGCATTCAGTATGGGGGCGTGCGAGAGATCTGCAGAGTGGATGATCAACATCAACAGCCTGAGGTATCAAGACATTTGTGCTGCCCATTACATTACAAACCACAGGAGAGGCAGATTCTCCAGCAGGATAGCGCTCCTTCTCATACTTCAGCCTCCACATCAAAGCTCCTGAAAGCAAAGAAGGTCAAGGTGCTCCAGGATTGGCCAGCCCGGTCATCAGACATGAACATTATTGAGCATCTCTGTGGTAAGATGAAGGAGGAGGCATTGAAGATGAATCCAAAGAGTCTTGATGAACTCTGTGAGTCCTGCAGGAACGCTTTCTTTGCCATTCCGGATGACTTTATTAATCAGTGATTTGAGTCAGTGCAGAGATGTATGGATGCAGACCTCCAAGCTCATGATGGAGCCACACACAATATTCATTCATGACTTTATATTCTATACTGGACATTATTTCTGTTCAGTGACAAGCCTTTTGTCTAAGTAAAGTCAGATCTTACTGTCCTGATGAAATAATTAATAATCAAGGCATGATCTTATTTTATTGTGGTAAAATAAGCCAAATCTAGAGGCCTTTGCCTTTCATATAAGCCACTTATGATACCAAATGATCAACTAGAAGTCCAGTTATTATTTGTTGTTCCTAAAACTTATGTAGGCGACAAGACTTTTGTCAGGTAGTGTATAATACACACACATATATTATGTCAAAACAAAACTTGTATTTTGGATGTGATTAATCTTTGCCCAGGACTAGAAAAACAAATAAACAAGAAACAAAAATATGTCTAAATTCATCACATGGCTTCCAGTATGTTCACCAAGGTCAAATTGAGAGCAAAGCATTGTGGGAAAGAACACAAGCAGTGAATATGTGAGTAATAAAAGATCAGCTGGACTCTTTGCTTAATTCTGAAGTTTATTCGTCCCATTTACTTTAAGAATTCGGATTCATCAAAAGGCCTTATAAACAGTTTATGGCTCGCAGAGACTCTGATTGCTTACAGGAAAGATTTTCTCTAAACAAACCCCGTCCGTCCATTCAACCAACCAATCAAAATGGCGTCAGATTGAGTCGTCTTGGTTTGTGCCGTTGTACCATATAATAATAATAATAATATCGTACCATTCATGTCACAGTTTAAGGCCGAAGGGTACAGGAACGCATCTGAATTTCATTTACATTTGTGTCGAAGCAAAACATCAAAGCACAGTGATGTTTTGTTGAATTTCCGCCATGTTGGAGAGGGATTATGGGACAGAACGGACCTCAGGCGGTCGTTTCTTCATATGAAATGCAGTCTCTTCATGCACAGGCATCCTTCATAGTACCTTAATCAATAGTCTGTTACAGATTATCATGTTTCCATATCAAAAAAAACGTGTAGAGATTTCTCCGTCATCGAGATCGGCGTACAAACGTGCCACGCATATGTCGCCATCTCATCTAATCTAACACACACACACACATTCTCTCTCTGACACACGCGCACACACACACACATAAAGTTAAAAAACGTCATAAAATGAACCAAAAAATTTGACGCACATGAAAACACGTGTTTCCATGACAGGCATTAAACACAAAAAAAAGCAAACAGAAGAACTGACAGCGAGACCCAGAGAGAGATAAAGAGAGAGAGAGAGAGTCAGCCAGTGAGAAACAGGGCGATTTCCCCCATAATGCATTGGGCCTGACGCGCTGTGGCCCTTTGTTTCCAGTGGTGTGATCATTCAGAGCCTCATTGGAGAGCAGCGGAGAGACAGACGGCTGACGGGACGCTCCGGGGTCGGGGTGGAGGACGGGTGGGGCCGGGCTGTAGCGTCCCGCAGGGTCTAGCGGTTGTTTTTTGCTGCCTCTTTGGCCGCTATGATCAGGGGCGTGAGGCTGGACAGAGGCTTGGCCACCTTCAGGAACTGGTGCTGCAGGGGAAAGAAAGAGAGATAGAGATGCTTACCAAAACTATCATGCACCTTTTAACAAGATCTCAATTAAGTCTGCGATGTCCCCTAGAGGGTGTATATGCAGTTTCAGCTCAAAATACCACACTGATAATGTTTTACAACTGTTTGAAACTGACCCTTTCAGGCTTTGATCCTAATTGTGCAGTTTTGGTGACTGTCGCTTTAAATTCAAATGAGACTGTGCTCTTTTTAAAAGAGGGCGGAGCTACAAATGCCAGTGTGTCAGCATAGTGGCAGATGAGGGAGAGAGGGTCCTTAGTGGGCGGAGCTTTCCCCTAGGGCTGCTCGATTTTGGGAAAAATCATAATCACGTTTATTTTGGTCATAATTGTAATCACGATTATTCCAAACGATTATTAGTTGAAGTCAAAATTATTAGCACTCCTGAGAATTTTTTAAAAATAAATATTTCCCAAATGATGTTTAACAAAGTAAGGAATTTTAACAGTATTTCCTCTAATATTTTTACTTCTGGAGAAAGGCTTATTTGTTTTGTTTTGGCTAGAATAAAAGCAAATTTAAATATTTTGAAACCTCTTTTAAGGTCAATATTATTAGCCCCTTTAGGCAATCTATATTTGTGATTGTCTGCAGAAGAAACTACTGTTATATAATGACTTGCCTAATTACCTTAATTAAGCCTTTCAATCACACTTTGAATTTGAATGTTTGTATTTAAAAAAATATCTACTAAAATATTATGAGCTGTCATCATAGCAAAGATAAAATTAATCGGTTATTAGAAATGAGTTATTAAAACTATTATGTTCAGAAATCTTCTTTCCATTAAACAGAAATTGGGGGAAAAGGTTGCTAATATTCAGGAGGGCTAATAATTCTGACTTCAACTGCATATATTATTTACTCTCTGCAAAGGAAAAAGAAATAAATACAATAGAATAAAAATATGAAACAAACTGTGCTTTTAGCATCTTCACCGTAAGAAAAACACTTTAGCCACAAAAGTCTTCAGTCAAGAGCAGAGAGGGATTTTCTCGTTGTTTTATTAATCATGATAAAACAGGCGGCAGCTGTGCTCTGTCACTTTAATGGTTTCGCTTTCACGTGTTTTTTTATCCTTCTCAACTCGTTTGTTTATTACACAATGAGGGTTAATATGAATAATCACTAATCACCGTGTTTTGACACCTATTTGACCATTAAAGCGCTCGCATTAATGACTTTAGATGTGTGTGCTCTCTGCTCGTCACAATGTGCGAATGAGACCAAGTGCAGACCGCATGCTTCTGACTGTCTGCGCGCCGCACACACACAAGCATGCGGCCTTTCGCGCTTTTAAGAGCAACAAGTGAGGACAACTGGACAGGGGGCGGTAAATAATGGAATAATCGTTTATCTCGATTAATGGTTTTTCATAATCGTTAGAAGCCAAAATCAAAATCGAAATCGGATTTTCGATTAATTGCACACCCCTACTTCCCCCATCTGATGACAAGTACAAAGGGAGAATGTCAATCAAAGAGTTTCTGCAGATTTTTACCATTTGAAGCTGGGTACTTGCACAGACTTTTATCACTCAACTGTTTAAACCCCTTATAAAAGTGATTTTTCCGTAACAGCTCCCCTTTAAGTAAGAGATAAAGTATATTCAGCAGGTTGTTATCACAGAATAAAGCCTGACAGGTTTATCGGCAGCACAACGTAAAGTGACAATTTACATGATCGATGTTGTAAAAGGACCTTATGAAACTGAAAATAGTCACATCAATGTATCGCCGGAAGATTTCAGTGGCTGGACAACACGTCTGTCCATATAACCCATTCGAAGAACAACAGAATCTACACCAGCTTTGTGTGACTGAAATAGTTTTAAAACAGAACATGACCTGTCTAACAGAAATACTTCAGCCATGGTGTCGTCCTTCCTCCAGCGTGGAAAACTAACTCCAATATTAATTCAGGATTATTAAAAAGTATAGATTCAGCATTTGATTTTACTGCTGCCTCTCTCTCTGTCTTGTGTGCACATGAACACGCAGTGCACGTGTACGCGCAATTGGTGGATCTGCGTGAACGAGTGCACAGTTGTACAAATCTACATTTGTTGACAGACAGTTTAGGCTGCTTATCAGAATTATGGGAGATTTTTTAGTTTAATGCCTTACTCAGAATATAAAAATACATGTAAACACATTTAGATCATTTACTTTTATCAGTACTACTGAACTGTGAAGAGACTACCAGCACAACAAAACATGTTTCTGAAGACAATCACCTACTGCACCTTTAAAGGCACAGTTCACCCAAAACTGAAAATTTACTCATTAGCCGCTTTCACACAGTGATATCAGTAAATATGTGGAAAATTTCCGGAACGACTTTACCGGTAAATTAAAAAAAGCGCTGTTCACACAGGCGAGGACGTTACAGGATTTTTTCCAGAAAGCACCATTCACACATCCATTCCAAAATGCAGGTAAATTCTGACATCATTAACCAGAAATGAGCTCTAAACGGCTGCGCTTGTATTTGTAAACATTTAACTACATCACAAACTCTGTGGATGATCAGTGTTGTGAACAACTTAGAAAAAAACATATAGAGAAACACTTTCGCATGTCGAGATGTACATGATATGTGTGTGTGCTGGCACTCACGGCTGTTTCACGGGCACACGCAAAGCTTCAATGTAAACAAACAACGGCTTATCATAAGCATCTTATCGATAATTATTTACACGGTTGGCATTAAGATGAACATATAAACGTGATCTAACTTCTAGCAGCTAAATGTGTCTGGAAAAATATTCAAAGGCTTTTATTCTCATAAACCGCGCGGAAGTGGACGCGTCTGACTGTTCTGATTGGCTAAAGCAGATGTCTCACGTCAGCATGTTCTAGACGCAGGGGCGCAACTACACATTTACTGAGAGGTATGCAGGTTCAAATTTTGTGTGGTCCCTCTTATTTTATATTAATTAATTAATAATAAATGAAGACAAATTTTCAGATTAATCTTATAACTTTTGACATTATGTATGATTTGACAGTTTATTTTGATAAAAATAAAAACAAATCTAAACAGTTACATCTACATGAACACTTTCGGCTGTGGGACTGCATGTTATTGTGTTAAATGATTTTGAATTAAACAATAACAATATTATATTCATTTAAAATGCAAAATAATGTTTTTTAACAAAACATATTTATTTATTTTTTATTATTTGAAACTTTTAATAAGGATAATTTTAAAAATAGTTTTGGCACAACGGCGCCCCCCCATGTGTGGCGCCCCTATGCGCCGCATATACTGCATACCCCCTTGTTGCGCCACTGTCTAGACGTGCACGCTCTTTCCGGCAATCTTCCTTCTGCATTCACTCAGCGCAGCATTCCGGCAAATTACCGGTAATGTTACAACTTCTCTTTCCGGAAAATAGCCAGAACGAATTTACAGGTATTTTCAAAAAGGGCCTGTTCACACATACACACCTTTCCGGAAAGTTGCCGGTAATTTTCCAGAAAGGTGTGTATGTGTGAAAGGGGCAAATATTTACTTTGCCTCAAGTGGCTCCAAACCTGTTTGAGTTTCTTTCTTCTGTTGAACACTGTTGTGTTGAAGATAATCATTGACTTTTATAGTATTTGTTTTTCCTACTCTGAGAGTCAGTGTGTGTTTTTTTTGTTCATCTTTTATGTTCAACAGAAAAAAAAAGAAACTCATAAAATGTATAAAACCACTTGAGGGAGAGCAAATAATCAGTGCGTTTTCAGTTTTGGGTGAACTGTCCCTTTAACCAGAGAGTGACCTGTGAATTTGAGTTCTTGCGCTGTAAATTCTTTCTATTTTTGTCCCGCTTTCTGAGATTTCACAGTATTTACACAGGTTTCTCCACCCGGATCTAGAAATGAAACTCCTCATGTAATGTGTTACACAATGCCAACACTGATCCTGACTCTTCTGGCCTTTTCCAGAAAGTTCTGCCAGTTAAAATTCACAGGAGGGTGAATAATTCTGACTTCAACTGTATATAATATTACATACTGATCTCTAAGTCTGTTTTATCACTGACAGCCATAATGAAATGCTGGTGTGTACCTGTAGGAGCTCTTTGGCAGAGCCTCTTTTCTCCACGTCCATCTCCAAACAGCGGTTTAGAAAATCCCGAAATACAGCAGAAAGCTTCTCTGGGTTCTGCAGCTCCGGCGTCCCATTAGTGGCGATCAGATACAGAGCCTGAGGAGGACACAGAGATACATAAGTCATACTAATGAACGGATATAATATATAAATCAATTAATTAGATACTGGGTTGCTCAGTGGTTAGCACTGTCGCCTCACAGCAAGAAGATTGCTGGTTCGAGTCCCAGTTGGCATTTCTGTGTGTAGTTTGCATGATCTCCCCGTGTTGGCGTGGGTTTCCTCCGGGTGCTCCGGTTTCCCCCACAGCCCAAACACATGCGCTATAGGTCAACTGAATAATCTAAACTGGCCGTAGTGTTTCCCAGTACTGGGTTGCAGCTGGAAGGGCATCCTCTGTGTAAAACATATGCTGGATAAGTTGGTGGTTATTTCTGCTGTGGAGACCTCTGAAATAGAGACTAAGCTAAAGGAAAATGAATGAATGAATAACTATATACTAATAATTAAAAATGAAAACTAACACTAACTAAACTAACGGTGCACAGTTAATACGTTTACTGTAAAAACATGACATAACTCTTTTTTAAACGTACAAATGCATTGATTTAAATTAATCAATTAATAAATAGTGAAAATAAATCACTCTGAAACTTCTGTTTTACTTTAAAATAAAATATTATCAATGAATAAATAATGCACGTTTTAAACTAGATGAAATTAATAGGTAATGAAGCTATTCACGTAATTTAAAGTTTGTTAATATGTAGTTAAAGAACACTTTAATATTGTTTCACATTTAAAACCACTTGTAAATGTACACATTTATTTATTTATTTATTTATTTGAGCTAAATGCAGCTAATAAACTATCAGTAAACTATAAAAAAAATAAATTAGCAATGAATTAAATAATTGTAAAGTAAATTTAATTACGTAAAGAAATAATAAAGCAATAATAAAGAATATTTAAAACATTAAAAAATTGTAAAAATTATTAGTGAAAATTTGACATGTTGGTTAAAGCTTTAACTAACATGAACAATCAATAAACAATACATGTATTACAGTATTTATTCCTATTAGTAAATGAAAATCCAGTTGTTCATCATTAGTTCAGGTTAACTCACGATGCATAAACTAATATCATCAATCATGAATTCAGATGTTGATGATGCATTTGTAAATGTTGAACTATGATTAATAAACACTGTACAAAAGTATTGTTCATAATTAAGTCATGTTAGTAAATACATTAACTAATGAACCTTATTGTAAAGTGTAAACAAAATATTTAACATGTAATTAAAATTAAACTAATAAATAATGAGTAAATACCTTTTCAAAATGTATCCTTAAAATGGAGTGGGGAAAAAATGTACTAGAAATCATATAAATAATTATTCATTAATTTAACAATAGTGACTTCAAAAATTATTACTGTAAAGTAGAAAACGATGTATGAATCATGAATCATGTCTTCTTTTGCAAATGAACTCTTCAATGCACAACAAAAATATGATTTATGGAAACTATGGGGGAAAATAAAGCAGTTATTCAGGTTTTATTTTGCAAATGAACACTTCAATGCACAACAAAAACATGAATTATGGAAACTATGGGGGAAAATAAAGCAGTTATTCAGGTTTTATTTTGCAAATGAACACTTCAAATGGTCATTTCAATATATATATCAGCATAATGGAGTATACTCCACTTTGAAAATTAATATTTGTATTCATTTCTCAGAGAAAGTGATTCGATTTGATTTGAAATATTATTTTAGTCATTAAAAATATGTAGAAATTAAAAGATAATACAATTAAAAATTCAAGCAAAATTTTGCTAAAAAAATTACAACCTACAAAATGTCAACTAAACTTTTTTTCATCTCTTGATTTTTCCACTTGTTTTAAATGTGTATTTAATATTTTCCTATAACATATAAATTTGAGTGGACTAGTTTTTGGACGTTATCGTAAGTTAGTTTGTTAGATCAGTGGTTCTCAAAGTGGGGGTCGGGACCACCTGAGGGGTCACACGACAATGAAGTAATGGTGATTTCCAAAAATCTATTTATTTTTATCATACCATTAAAATTACCATATTTATCCATATACCATATACCATAACCTATTTATCCATAACTTTTCTCCTGAAGAGAAAAAAATAGTTGTTTAAAGTTACTATATAGTTACTATAGTAGCTTATAGTTATTAGTTCTATTGCATTGCAACCCCTGGGCTAATTACATTATATTAAAGACAGCAATAGTGTCAGATGCACCAGATTGATTTTATAACACCAGGTTAAACTTTCTCTCCCATTTATAGCACTGAAAAAAATAAATAAAGAATAGACTTGGGTCTATTGGTGTGTGTGCTCCATTGCATGCATTGCATAACCACCTCAGAGGATATTTGGGGCTCGCGAGTCACTGGCATTGTCTTTTTGGGGGTCGCGGGCTGAAAAGTTTGGGAACCGCTGTGTTAGATAAGCTCCAGATTTGGCTACAAATATATTGTATAGCTTCATATAGAAAATATTATTTAAATGAAAGATTTGTGAGCATAATATATGCTGAGCACTGTATATATTTACTACTTTCCCCCCAAAAGTTTCCATAATGCCATATAATATGTACCAGTTATAACCCATTACATTATTATATTGTATTGTCAATATTATCAGCCTCTCCTTGTTTAAGTAAAATCTAAAATAAAAGCAAGTAAAAAAATAAATAAAACAAAAGAAAGATTATATATGTACGCAAATACAGATATTCCTGTAGCTGCACATATTGCTGAATGTGGTGTAGTTTCCCACCCGGAGTGGGTTCTCGTTGAGGTAGGGCGGTTCGCCCTCGATCATCTCGATGGCCATGATGCCCAGAGACCAGATGTCCACTTTGGGCCCGTAAGCCTTGCGGGTCACCACCTCCGGCGCCATCCAGTAGGGCGTCCCGACCATTGTGCTGCGCTTGCTCTGCTCGGGAGTGATCTGAGCGCAGAAGCCGAAATCAGCTGAAAAACACACACACAAACACACAGACGGATGGTCAGAGACAGTAAATAAACACTGCATCAACAGATGACATGAAGAAAAAGCAGCAAAAATGATCTGCACTCAGTTCAGTAAATAACTGATGGTAAGGAAGCACAGATGGTATGAAGAAAAGCAGGACACTTGCTCCCCCTGCTGGAGGAAAACTCAATCACAAACACACTGCTGATCAATTTCAATAGTATCTAGATGCAGCCTTTGTGATGCAAGCTGAGATTGCATCACTCAACGATGCAATGTCAGACACAATGCACGTAATAGAGTGACATCACTGTGACGTGTGGGGTTAGGGGTGGGGTTAGGTGAGCGCATTAAAAAGCATTGGATGCAGCTCAGATAGCACTGCACCAGGTCTGCATGCAGACCTCTCCCATCTATTCTGCAACATTTTAGAGTTTTTAAATAGTGCCCAACCTTATAATAACTCAAAATGATAATCAAAGGCACACTTTTTCTTTAAATCTACAAATTACAAACACACACACAAAGCGAAGACTAATTTAACAACTTTTCAAACTGCACGAGAAATATTCATTATCTTTAAAAGCAACTAGAAACACATTGATCAAGTTTTTACATTTATTTTACAACTTTAACCAATTTATAATTAATAAAATTATAATAAAATACATTTTTTCTCTCAAAAATCACACAAAAAGTGAAAAGACACATACATACAACACTTATTTAGCACAAAGCAACTAGAAACATATTGATCGGGTTTTTACATTTATATGACAAGTTTTAGCAACTTAAAAACTGAATTAAATTCATTTAAATTAATTGCAACTATAATTTTTGAATCAGGTATGATTAATAATATATAAATATATTTAAAAGCTGTTGCGTTCTCAAATCTGTGTGTCTCTGTTCCCCTGTGCTCTCTCTCTCTCTCTCTCTCTCTCGTTTTTTCCCTCGCCACAGGTCACGCCCTAATTACGTCACCGGGGATTGGCTGGAGTGATGTAGGGCCTCTTTTAAAAAGTGGAACGGTCGAGGAGAGCGGGGAGGGAGTTGGTTGGTGTATAGCTTGAAATTGTTGTTGAAAAATATTATCAGCGATTCTTGATGTTGACTGTGTTTTCCTGTGTTGTGTGTAACTTTGGTTTTCGTGTTATTGTGATCCCTCCAGTGTCCCCCCCCCTCTAAGTTTTGTTTTTGGCTTTGTTTGTTGTCACTGTAAAAATATTGCATATACACAGTTTGCAGCAGTAGGGGTTGGATTTCACACTTTTCTTTATTGTAAATATTTTCTCTTGTTTTATATATAGGTAGGAAGTGAGGCGTAGTATTGTATATTACAATATTCATATTCATTTATTTTCCTTCAGCTAAGTCCCTTTATTCATCAGGGATCCTACAGCGGAATGAACCGGCAACTATTCCGGCATATGTTTAACACAGCAACCCAGCACTGGGAAACACCCATATATTCTTGCATTCATACAAATACACTACGGCCAATTTAGTTAATTCAATTTCCCTATGTGGGGGTAACCGGAGCACCCGGAGGAAACCCATGCCAACACGGGGAGAACATGCAAACTCTACACAGAAATGCCAACTGACCCAGCTGGGACACAAACCAGTGACCTTCTTGCTTTGAGATGACAGAGCTTACCGCTGAACCACCGTGCCACCACTATTCACATTTGCTTTAATTAATATCTGTTAATTAATATCTCTCGTATTTTTTTTGATGCATCACATCATTAATCAAGCATCTTTCAGCAGCAGCACAACGTGTTCTCGTCTTTTTTCTTTGTTTTTTGTTCTTGTGTTTTGACTCACTGAGTTTGACGGAGCCGTCCATCCCCAGCAGGATGTTGTCGCTCTTGATGTCTCTGTGAATCACCTGATTGCAGTGCAGGAACTCCAGAGCCTGCAGACACTACATGCAGAAGAACAGAAAATCAGTGAAGAGATGATGATGCCGAATAAAAAACAACAACTGGTCACTGATTCACTGATTCGGAGTAAAAAAAACATTGAGTCCGCAAATTATCTTTTACTTTTTAGCAGCATACATTTTCCAAACATTCAGTTATCTGGACAATAAGGAAGTCCCTAAGGCTGATTTATACCTCTGCGTCAAACGCCGATAGCATAGCCCTTTGCCGTGGCCTTCACTGACGTGCACCTCTCAAAAAATGTAACTACACGTCGCAACGACGCATAGCGCAAGCTCTGTGATTGGTCGGCTTAGTAGCGCTGACGAGTCTGGGCGGGGCCGAGAGCCGCGTGAATGGTGCGAGCCTGATAGAGCGATTGTTTACAAGTGTGGAGTCCCGTGAAGGAGCTCCGGATGGAAAGTTTTGTTTTGTGTTTACCTCATAGTTAAAGTTGTTGCACGTCCGCCGGTTCCTGCCTCAAAATGAGCGAGTTTGAGCCACTTGTACATCCCGGAAGCGTTCAGGAAAAGCAAAACAGCAGCGAAGAAACTCGACACAGAGGAACATTTACACCTCACTGCCAACTAGCGTTTCAGAAGTGTTAATGCAGACCAACAGAGACAGGGCGCAGAAGTATAAATGCACAGCTACACGCGTTGCATGCGCCGTGGGTTACGCCGGTCACTTGATGCAGAAGTATAAATCAGGCTTTAGGCTAAGCTTAAAACGCAAGGTTTCCCAACAAGGACTTCGAAATACAAACAGTTTGAATTAGCTTAGTTTGAAAAACTGAACAATTGAAGTATAGTTTACAAAACCAGCAAGTTAAATAAACTTAAATATGCACGTTTTGAGAGACTCCATTACTCAATTTAATTGAGGCAACAAGTTTCCTCAATTAATTTAGTTCAGCCAACTTATTAGGTATTTCAGTGTAGGCTTTGCTAAGCTAACTCTATAAAAGCCAATTGCTGTGTCCCAATCCGCATACTATGCGTCCTAAATAGTATTTGACAATAGAATTAGTAAGTCCCAAACTATAGTATGTTGAAAAGAGTATGCCAGAGGTTCCCGGATGGTTTGCTATTTCCGGTAAAAAATGTAAGTGTAGAAGCGTCCATACTCTAACCGCTGATATTGCCCACAATACATTGCGAGTTGGACGTGAATGCAATTAGAACTACAAACGCGTGTGTAAAGTGTAAATAAACGACAAACATGATAGACGCGGGAGACCAATCATCAAGTAGAGAGGCTTCGGTATTAGGGTTGGGCATCTAAGCTATAATGCCGATCCGATACGCATCTCGATACAAAGAATACGATCCGATATATTAGCGATACATTTGTGACATATTGCGATGCAACACGATACGATTCACACCCATATCACGATACGATGCGATAATTCAGCACTAACTAATTAGATCAAGTTTATGAGATGATGTGAAAGAGGATGCTGTGCCATTGAATGAGTTTGATTATTTATTAACCAAGCAAAACCAAGACTTTTTTTACAAACTGGCTCTTCTCTCAGAGCCAGAGTGTCAGTTTACAGTAGAGGGCCATTTTAGAACATATAGCACATATTATTTAAGTATTTTCAAGACAAACAGAATGTATAAGTGCAATATATATTAAAAAAATATGTATATATTTGCACTCTTTCAACATAAATAAATTTAGCATTGCACAACAAGAATTGTGATTAAACTTTTCAACTATGAAAACAAGTTTTACAAAGATATATTTTGCCACTGATTATTCAAAACTTACGGTCGTGAACTAGCAGTTATGCTGCGTTGAAACATCACTGTCACTGTAAACAACAGGCTAATAAAAATATAACAAACCAGCAATCTTCTTGCTGTGAGGTGGTCAAACTACCCACTGTGCCACCGTGACACCCAATTATTTTTATCATTATTATTATTAATATTATTATTATTATTATAATTAAATAAAAATTAACAGGAGGAGGTGTTTAAAACCTTCGTTCTCCGTGACACTAGGCTGAATATCTTTGCAGATGAACAATGTAATAGCATTCGTTATTGGCGTAGAGCGAGCAGAACTGTTGCGCATGGAAAAAAAAACTTGCAATGCTTTTCTCACCACTTTTGGAGCTGGTTGAAGCAGTGCGAAAGCCGGGGATGCAGAAACACTGGAAGATGCTTCCACAACAACATCGTGGCGCCGCTTCAAGTGAGATATCAGATTAGTCGTACTGCCCGCGTATTTTACAGATGCGCGGCACATTTTGCAAATTGCATCTGTCCTGTCATGTCGTCCATCCTTAAATCCATAATGTTGCTTGCCATACTTTAGATTTAAAACTCAGTGGGGAATAAAATGTTTGTTTTGCTTCTCGCGCTTTCTGAGGGCGCACCACTAGCTTCATCCGCACACCTGATACACTGAGTTGTAGTGAAAGTGTACACATCCGCAAATCCGTTGCTAAGGCTTACTTTATGTAGGTCGATTAAATTATGCGCCAAAAACAGGTTGACAACACTTGTTAATAAATAAAAAATACATTCTATATTAAAAATATAAGCTGTATCTCGGAAAAATCGATGCATCTCGCAAAAACCGATGCATCTCGATTTGCTTCCAAAATTTCATTCATCCTCTGCTGCTCTACCGATGCACTCGCATCGTGCACGCGCATGACCGCGTATCGATACATATCGGTTAATCTTCCCATCCCTATTCGGTATAGATGTTTGAATGACTGTTAGTCAATATTTAGCCCACTGGAAAATATCCAAATTGCATTATCTGTGTTATATTTAATCTACAACAACACAGAACTTAAATAAAGATGCGTTTAGACGTATGAATGCAGAATTACCCAAAGACCTGAGGAGATTTCTCTGCATGAAAAACTCATGAATGGGGGATTATCCTGCTGCTGCTGCTTCTCCAGTAAGGTAGGAAATTAAGACAGAAAGGTGGATGGTGTGTGGATGATTGACAGGGGGCATAACTAAGCAACACAACAATCTGTTAAAGAGGAAGTAGTATGTCCCAAAGCTTGCATATGTAACCCCACCGATCCAATGCCACCCAACCCGCTCCGAGCTGGGATTGAACCGGCGACCTTCCGCATGGGAGTCGGTAGCTCTACCAAGGAGGCTAAAGACCATGGCCTCTAGCCTCTGTCACTAGAGCACCTTTAGAGGTCAGAGGAGTGAGGTTTACCTGCACAGCACCTACTAGCTGGCCTCCAATACACATACTCTTTTGTTGCACACTCAAAAGTATAAACTTGTCCTTCAAAAAAAAAAGTACATACTTTTAGGGTGTAGTATGAGTATGTGAATTGGAACGCAGCAAATGTGTCCCTTTGCATTAAACTTTGAGCATCTTACATTCAGAGATGTTCATTATGTTCACACAGCTACATAAAACAACAACTTTAAAATATGATATCGTAGTGGACCACCCTTTAAATAAAAGTTCAAAAGATCTTATTTTTAGTGTCATGTGTTGAGTTTTCAGTGACCATACTGTCAAAATCATTCCACATTAATGTGTAGATTTTTAACCAAACTTTGCGCGGAAATGTAAATAACGCCTGCAGATTGGGTCAGTATTCATACACTGACCTCCCGACAGACGGCTGCGATCTGTGCTTCATCCATACAGGTTTCTGTCACCACATCCGTCAGCGAGCCTCCAGCCAGATACTCCATCACCACCCACAGCTCATCGCCAACCAGATAACTACAGGAAAACAACACATTTTACAATAGGGGACACAGATAATGTTAGATAATGTGTTTACTACCACAAACAATGAATAATTCATGTTATTAGATTAGATTAATTTTAACTTTATGGTCATTACACATGTACAAGTACAATGCAACGAAATGCAGCATTCATTCATGTTTGTTAACATTAGTTCATGAAAATTCAGTTTTCAAATTTTCACAGTGCCATGACTAATGTCATGAGTGAATGTTGAATTCTGATTAATAAATCCTGTACAAGCATTGCTCATTGTTGGTTCGTGTTAATAAATACAGTCAACGGCCACTTTATTAGGTACCCCTTACTAGTACCAGGTTGGACCTCCTGTTGCCTTCAGATCTGCCTTGATCCTTCATAGCATAGATTCAACAAGGTACTGGAAATATTGGTCAGAGATTTTGTTCCATATTGACATGATAGCATCATGCAGTTGCTGCTCAGGTAGGCTGTGGAGTTGACTCAGTGCTCAATTGGTACTAATGATTGCAAAGTGTGCCAAGAAAATACGCCCACACCATTACACCACCACCAGCCTGAACCGTTGATGCAAGGCAGGATGGATCCATGCTTTAATGTTGTTGAGGCCAAATTCTGACCCGACCATCCGAATGTGGCAGCAGAAATGGAGACTCATCAGACCAGGCAACACATCTCCAATCTTCTATAGTCCAATTTCAGGGAGCTTGTGCCAATTGTAGCCTCAGTTTCCTGTTCCTAGCTGACAGGAGCTGCACTTGGTGTGGTCTTCTGCTGCTGTAGCTCATCCGCCTCAAGGTTGGATGTGTTATGTGTTCAGAGATGCTCTTCTGCAGACCTCGGTTGTAACGAGTGCTTTTTTGAGTTAAGTTTGCCTTTCTATCAGCAGGGACCCGTCTGGCCATTCTCCTCTGACCTCTGGCATCAACAAGGCATTTGCGCTCACAAAACTGTTTTCAACACTGAAAACTATCACTGGATATTTTCTCTATTTCAGACCACTCTCTGTAAACCCTAGAGATGATTATGCGTGAAAATCCCAGAAGATCAGCAGTTTCTGAAATACTCAGACCAGCCCATCTGGCATCAACAACTATGCCTCATTCAAAGTCTCTTAAATCCCCTTTCCTCCCCATTCTGATGCTCGGTTTGAACTGCAGCAGATTGTCTTGACCATGTCTACATGCCTAAAGTGCATTGAGTTGCTGCCATGTGATTGGCTGACTAGAAATTTGCATAAGCAAGCAGTTGGACAGGTGTACCTAATGAAGTGGCCAGTGAGTGTCCATTACCAACATGTCCTGTATTGTAAAGTGCTACCAGAAAAAAAACACTGAGAGTGTACTCACACTAGGCACGGTTGTCTTGAACTGTACCCAGGCGCGATTGTCCCCAGTCCCCTCTCCCCCTCGGCCCACACTCACACTTCATCTTTACCTTCCGAACCGGACCACGCTTACATCATCAATGATGAGACTGTTCAGTTAGGAAGAGAAGTGCTCTCGCTCCACACTATGTAGATTGTTTTAGTTATATTGTTTTGTATTATTTTAGGTTGTTTGGATTGCGATGACACAGTCTAATCTTTTGCTGACTAGATCCACCACTTTTGACACTTGAAAATGTTAATAAAGTCCTCATGCTGTACGTATTAGGAGGTTTGCTGAAGGTGCAGCTGATGTGCATCTTTAATTAACTAGCCGTGTTCATTGAGAAGTAAGAATGATTAATATACAGTCCCTTAAAAGTAATGTTGAGAGGCTGGGCCCAATTCGGAACACTCACACTTGTCAAACGAGCTGGAAAATGGAGGTCAAACACACCTGGGCACTGTTCGCATAGCCTAAGGTGAGTAGAGTCTAAACATAAACAGGTAACACTGTCTCCAAATAAAATGGCATTTGTTTGTTATCGTTGTTTACTTAATTATTCGTTTCCCCATAGATGTGGAGTGGATGCGTTCACCTGTCCAGGTAGTTGACGATGTTTGGGTTCTTGTTTTCCCTCATGACCAGGATCTCGTTGATGATCAGCTCTTTCTTGGGCTGCTGCTGCAGGTTCATCTGTTTGATGGCCACCTGACAGAGAAAACATCAGAATAAAGCTTTCAGACACACCTGAAGATTCAGCACTGAGTCTGAAAGAGCCATTAATAACAAGCGGATCAATGACTCAAGCCTGATTTACTGCCATCGACCAGAGAAAAGATGGAGGACGCTAACGAAGCTGAGTGCTGACCTCCATTAATCTGAAGAGCATGTGGACATTGAAAACACCATCAATATAGCGATGCTGTCTGATTTAACCATAAATAAAGCTCACAAACTGACACAAACGTGGCCTTTGGACCATCAGAATACTCCATCTAACACAAGCAAACTGCGAAAACTTGCTTGATGCATGTTAGCAAAATCCTAAAATATGTTAGCTATATGTTAACTTACACTAACAACGTTTTAAGAACGGTAAACGTATTAGCAAATCATGCTAACATGATCATGCTCTATCACCAGGCAAGCTAAGGACACGCTATCAATGTATTAAATCATATCAACAAATTAAAATTTGCCATCGAGGTGTTAAAACATGTTAGTAACATGTCACGTGATTTTAGAAACATGTCACAGTGTTCTAAAGCGTCTAAGTAATGACGTAAAACATGCCAGAAATCTTTAATAATTTTATAAACGTGTTAGCCATGTGCTAATTATGCTAGCAAGATTTATGTGCTAATAAAATTGTAACTACATGGTGCTAAAACATGGTAGTATTGTGCTAGCAACATGCTGAATTATATGCATGTTTCATGCTATTATTGTTACAATAATGCTAGCAATATGCTAAAAATGTGCTAATGTGATATGTAATAGCAATACATTAACAATATGGTAAAACATGTTACCAATATGCTAAAACAGGCTAACATGTTAAACATTGGTTAAACTATCACACAAAACATTGCTAGCAACATGTTTTTAAAAAATAAGAATCACTTCAGACTGCTCAATCACTAGGCAAGCTGAGGACATGTTACCAAATGTATTAAATCATATCAATGCATCAACATTTGCCATTGAGGTGTTTAAACATGTTAGAAACATGTCACAGTGTTCTAAAACTTTTTAGTGATGACGTGAAACATGCCAGAAACCTTTAATAATTTTAGAAACGTGTTAGCCATGTGCTAATTATGCTAGCAAAGTTTGAAAATTAGCTAAGCGTTAAGGCATTCAAACAATGAGTTAATAAAATTGTAACTACATGGTGCTAAAACATGGCAGTATTGTGCTAGCAACATGCTTAATCATTATATGTAGGCTACATGCTATTAATGTTACAATAATGCTAGCAACATGCTAAAAATGTGCTAATGTGATATGTAATAGCAATATAATGTAATAGCAAAACATTAACAATACGGTAAAACATGCTACCAATATGCTAAAACATGCTAACATGTTACAAACATTGGTAAAAAACTATCACACAAAACAATGCTAGCTACATGTTAATAAAAAATGAGAATAACTAAAGACTGCTCAATCACTGGGCAAGCTGAGGACATGTTTCCAGTTGTATTAAATCATATCAATGCATCAAAATTAGCCATCGAGGTGTTAAAACATGTTAGTAACATGTCAAGCGATTTCAGAAACATGTAACAGTGTTCTAAAGCATCTACAACGTAAAACATGCCAGAAACCTTTATTAATTCTAAAAACACATTAGCCATGTGCTAAATATGCTAACAATATTTAAAAAATGCCGCGTTAAAGTATGCTAACAATGGTTCATAAATGGCAACTAGATGGTACTAAAACATTGCAGTAATGTGCAACCATTATATGTAGACTACATGCTATCAATGTTACAATAATGCTAGCAACATGCTAAAAATATGCTAATGTGATGTGTAATAGCAATATAATGTGATAGCAATATATTAACAATATGGTAAAACATGCAACCAATGCTAATTGAACACTCGGCAGATAGTCACTGTTTTATCACTCGCAAAGCCTAAAAGGTAGCAGATACAACAATAATAAATGTGTCAAATTATAGTTATGTGTTACAATATGCTATCAATGTTTTAAATGTGTTAATAACATGTTATGCGAATGCCATTTTAGAAACATGTAACAATATGCTAAATCATCTTAGCAAAGTTTTACATGCTAGTAACATTAAAAAATTCCAGAAACATGTTAGCCATGAGATAAAACATGCTAGCAATGATTGAAAAAAAGGTTATAAAGCGGTAGCAAAGTGCTAAAACATTATAGCAATGTGCTACCAAGGTGTTGTATCATTCTATGCTACTAACACTACAATAAAATAATGACGAATCATGCCAGCTAATTATTATTGACGTGCTTGAACATCATAATAATGTTTTCAAATATGAAAGAAATATTGTAAATGTGCTAGCAGTAGAGAAAAACATGCTAGCAGCATGTTAAAAATCTGCTAAAACATGCAAATAACATTAAAACATGATGTCAATGTGCTAGAACATGCAAGTGACGTTCTAACAATGTTAAATCATGTTAGTAACATGCTATTTACAGTATGTGCTAGTGTGTGCAATATGTGTATTTACAGTATATTATCATCAATTGTGTTTTAATGCGCATGTGATAATGACAGGACATCTCACCTCTTGTCCTGTAGCGATGTCTATGGCTGTATAGACGGTTCCAGATGCCCTGATGAGTACAGAAAAGAAAGATTTATTTAATATCTGATTCCTGTGAGATCTGGATAACACAAAATGACCATCAACCTCACCCCTGGCCGATCTTCTCAAAGCGCGTGTACTTCTTTTTCGGGTCGCCGACGCTGACTATACTCCCTGTGGAGAGGAAAACATGTTACTGTCGGAAATATAAATATATAAAACCGAAACACAGGTGAGGAAGTAAACTGCAGAACATTACAGGGTTTGTGATCAAGCCTGGACATTATATGGCCGTTTACAATTGTTCAACTACAGGTCAGAATGTGGTTTAGACTGCACTCAACAATAAGACAAAATGAAATATTTAAGAATAACTGAAGTGCCATATAATGATATATATTACATAACAGCTAATTTTTATTAAATTAAATTAAATTAAATAAGTGTGTATGGTTTTAAAACAGTAAAATTAGGTGAATCTAATGCAAATATTCTCTGAAAACATTTTATATAATTAAAATAACAAAATAAAATGTATATGTTAATATGATAAAATAAATAAAATGTTAATGTAAAAAGTGATATTTTGTTGATATATAGTTTATATATATATATATATATATATATATATATATATATATATATATATATATATATTTGGTCTCAATTTAGTCAATTTGCTTTTATTTTTGTTGCTCTGTAATCAGAATTTATTTGTTTACTTTATACTTTACTAAAAATTGTATTTTATGTATTTTTTATTTGATTTATCTGTTATTTTATTGCATTTTAAATAAAATTTTATGTGCATATTTTATTGTATATCTTTTATTTAAATATATTTTACAATATTTCATCAAAGCAGCTGGATTCTAAAATAAAACAATAAAAAAAAACACTTACCGGCCACTATATTAGGTACACCTGTTCAACTGCTCGTTAACGCAAGTTTCTAATCAGCCAATCACATTGCAGCAACTCAATGCACTTAGACATGTAGACATGAACAAGACTATCTGCTGCAGTTCAAACCGAGCATCAGAATGGGTAAGAAAGGGGATTTAAGTGACTTTTAATGTGGCAAGGTTGTTGGTGCCAGACGGGCTGGTCTGAGTATTTCAGAAACTAATGATCTACTGGGATTTTCACGCACAGCCATCTCTAGGTTTTACAGAGAATGGTCTGAAAAAGAGAAAATATCCAGTGAGCGGCAGTTCTGTGAGCGCAAATGCCTTGTTGATGCAGAGGTCTACAGACATCTCTGAACACACAACAAGTCTAACCTTGAGGCGGATGGGCTACAGCAGCAGAAGACCACACCGGGTGCCGCTCCTGTCAGCTAAGAACAGGAAACTGAAGCTACAATTCACACAAGCTCACCAGAATTGGACTATAGCAGATTGGAGAAACGTTGCCTGTTCTGATAGTCTCCAATTCTGCTGACACATTCGGATGTTCGGGTCAGAATTTGGCATCAACAACATGAATCCATCCTGCCTTGTATCAAAGGTTCAGGCTGGTGATGGTGGTGTAATGGTGTGAGGGAGATTTTCTTGGCACACTTTCGGTCCATTAGTACCAATTGAGCATCATGTCAACACCACAGACCTTGCTGAATCTATGCCCTGAAGAAGTAAGGCGGATCGGAAGGCAAAATGGGGTCCAACACTGTACTAGTAAGATATACCTATTAAAGTGGCCGGTGAGTGTGTATAAAATCTTAAGTAATAATAATAATAATAATAAATTAATTAATTAATTAATTGAATAGAAATTACCATTATGCACTGCTTGCTATCAACACTTGTATATTCTATTATATTCACAGTATAATATTTGCAGCATTTAATTTTCATTTTAGTTTTATTTTCCTCCTGTAAATGTAATGTTTAATCAAATGAAATGTTCCTATGACAGTGATCACAATATAGAAATACACAGACACTCGGCTCCAGGACACAATCAACTCAACTCCTCAAACAAATGATGCTTCAACCACACTCATGCTGTAAAGAGAAACAACAAATGAAGGTTTCCAGCAAAAAAAAAAAAAAAGAAGGAGAGAGACGGAGGACAGAAGAGCATTAAACCTCTGGGATAAGAGACAGATTTACAGGCTGTGGGCTTGGAGAACACAGAAGGAAGAATCAGAGCTTTACGAGGTCTTCAATTCAGGCCAGATGAGGGGGAGAGAGAGAGAGAGATAGAGAGAGGGGGGGGGAATCTCCATCCGGAAACCAGTGACGAACGGAGGCAATAAATGAGGATGACAGAATAAAAAACACACACAGAAAGCCGCTTCTCGGTCTTACCAGCAGAGGGAGACCGGAGCACGTCTGGAGCGTGAGGTTTATAACGAGACACACGCTTAGAAACACATGCAGAGACGCTCAAACTAAAGCTGCACATGCGCAAGAAATACACCATTCAGAATAATAATAATAATAATAATAATAATAATAATAATAAAGCATACATGGATATAATAATAAGCATTGAATGATTTGCAAATAAATACTTAATACAGATTTTAAAGATCAGACAAAGAGCTAGATAGAAAAACAGATGGAGAGATGGATGGATGAATGGACAGTCAGACGGATAGACATGGATACATAGACAATCAGACATGATGGATGGACTTGGATAGACAGGTGGATAGAAGGAAAAATGAATGCATAGAAAGACAAATCGATGGATGGACAGATGGAAAGAAGAATGGATGAATGGACAGATAGACAAAGACAGATAGACAGACGGAAAAGCAGACGGACGGACGGACGGACAGACAGACAGACAGACAGATAGATAGATAGATACTGTGGATGGATGGATAGATGGATGGATGGATAGACAGAAAGAGGTGGATAGACGAAGGTCAGTTGGATAGACAGAAAGAAGGACGGACGGACGGACGGACGGAAGGACAGACAGACAGACAGACAGACAGACAGACAGACAGACAGACAGACAGACAGACAGACAGACAGACAGACAGATAGATAGATAGATAGATAGATAGATAGATAGATAGATAGATAGATAGATAGATAGATAGATAGATAGATAGATAGATAGATAGATAGATAGATAGATAGATAGATAGATAGATAGATAGATAGATAGATAGATAGATAGATAGATAGATAGATAGATAGATAGATAGATAGATAGATAGATAGATAGATAGATAGATAGATAGATAGATAGATAGATAGATAGATAGATAGATAGATAGATAGATAGATAGATAGATAGATAGATAGACATGCTAAATAATAATAATAAACCACACAAATAATTAAAATGCTGTAGAGAATATAAGCGCTGCACGAGTGACTCCATCAGCAGATAAAAGCATGAAAAAATCAAGGCCTCATTCATATTTAATGTGAGGAAGGATGATGTGCATTAACATAAAATACAGCAGGAGTGGGTGAGCTGGGGTTTATTTAGCAATGATGTCTTGCTGACTGAACATAACCTGCTTATTACAGGCCAGGGCTACTGACTGAATAAATCATCTGTCATCAAATATTGATTTGTATGTAACCTGTTATACTAATGTGAGGAACCAGCATAATTATGTGGAAAAAACTAAACGGAAATATCCAGGACAACACTTTTGACTTTATTATAATTATTAACAGTTTTGAGTGTGGCGGCACGGTGGCTCAGTGATTAACACTGTCGCCTCACAGCAAGAAGGTCGCTGGTTCGAGCCCCGACTGGGTCAGTTGGCATTTCTGTGTGGAGTTTGCATGTGCTCCCCATGTTGGCGTGGGTTTCCTCCGGGTGCTCCGGTTTCCCCCACAGTCCAAACACATGCGCTATAGGGGAATTGAATAAACTTAATTGGCTGTAGTGTGTGTGTGTGTGTGTGTGTATAAATGAGTGTGTATGGGTGTTTCCCAGTAATTGGGTTGCAGGTGGAAGGGCATCCGCTGTGTAAAACATATGCTGGAATAGTTTGCGGTTCATTCTGCTGTGGTGACCCTAAATAAAGGGACTATGCCGAAGGAAAATGAATGAATGAGTTTTGAGTGTGTTTATACATATTTAAAATATTTAATATTATTTCATTTAATATTAGTTGGTATATATATAATACAATCTATTAATTATAATATTTTAAATTGTATTATTTAAAATATTTGTAATAAATAAATTGGAAAAAATTGGAATTTATTTAGTTACGACTTCTCTTCTGTATTAATCTTGATGTAGCCTTTCAGGTGAAAGAAAAGTGCAGTTAGTTTATAAAATTTTTGTGTTTAAAAATTTTAATAATAATAATAATATTATTATTATTATTGCAGTTGTTGTAGTTATTATTATTATTATTATCATCATCAATATTATTAATATATTAATAATAGTAATAACATATCTATAATAAAAATTTTGTATTTACAACTTTTTATAAAATAATAATAATCATTTCTATTATATAATAATGATAGTTTTTGGTACTTTTATTGGTGACACTTTAGAATAATGATCCATTAGTTAATAATGTATTTACTAACAATAACAAAGTATATTTTTACATATTAAGTATATTTACTAACATTCATTAAGTATAAATCATCTTGTACAGCATTTATTAATCATAGTTCCACATTACCTAATGCATTATTAACAATTAAAAATTTGTGCTTGTAAGCATTAGTCAATGCACCGCGAGTTAACATGATCTAACGTTATTTAATTTAATAAAGTTGAGTGCTATTTTGGGGTTTCTGCCTGGATTTTGCCTGCCCAAATTTAAAAGCTTCACCAAAAATTCACATGCAGAGGTGTAAATGCAAAGGTTTGATTTCATTTTAAAGAGAACCCATTGAATTTTTATAAAACACTATTGAAAGTGATTTAAAAAATTGTATATGATTTGTGTGTTATAATAAAAACATCCAAAAAAGAGGCTCTTATTTTGTAAACTCTAATGTGAAAGTGTACCTTTAGGTTCTGTGTGGTCTCGGTTGCTGTGGTTCCAGCACATGTCAGTAATCATAGGAAAAAACGAAAAAATTCTCGACCATAATCCATGCAAAAGTTTATCTATTTCAACTGGTGAAAGAACAGAACCACTTATAGGGGTATTGGGCCACCTATAAAATTTAAAGAATGCAAAAAGTAAATGCTGTCATGAGGATGGTTAGGAGGACAGTGGGCAAATTTAGCTAAAACGCTGGGAGATTAGACCCCTACTCTTTTTCGAAGGACATCCTGGGATTTTTAACGACCACAGAGAGTCAGGACCTCGGTTTAACCCCTCATCCGAAAGACGGCGCTCACTGAGCAGTATAGAGTGCCCATCAATATACTGGGGCATTAGGAGCCACATAGACCATAGATTGAGCGCCCCCTGTTGATCTCACTAGCACCATTTCCAACACCAACAATAGCTTTCCCATGTGGTCTCCCATCCAGGCACTGACCGGGCGCAGCCCTGTTTAACTTCAGTGGGCCACCATGTGAGAGATGCAGAGAGCTAGCTGCCGGCAACATGAACTAATGGACTATTATTATAAGTGTCACCCATGTATTATCAGATATTTTGTATAAAACATTCTGTAATTAATATCAGCATTTCAGAGAGCTCATTCATGGATGATTATCAGCTTGTTATTGATTGCCTGTCTCGTGTGTTTTCTTCTGCGCGTGTAAACACTGATCTTTTTCCTTGTGTGTGTCTGTGCTCGTAAACACTCACTGAGTTTCTCCAGAATCTCCTCGTCGCTCATCTTCTTCTTGCGGCTCTTGTCTGTGGTCTGTGGAGTGGATGGAGCGTTGGTGCTGGAGGCGGCGCTGGTGGAGGTGGTGTTGGTGGTGTTTGTGGTGTTGGTGGTGTTTGTGTTTGTGGTGTTTGTGTTTGATGAAGGCGCATTGCTGGATGATCCTCCGTCTGCGGCTGCGTTCGTGATCGGTGAAGTTGCGGCGTCTTTGGTGGAGAGCGGAGGAGGAAGAGGCTCGATGACGGAGCGGGTGTAGATCTGCAGGGGCGGAGAAAAGTGTGCTAAAATTAATTATCAGAATAAAATATCAAATCAAATAATTGTAACATTCATTTTCCTTTAGCTTAATCCCTTTATTCATCAAGGGTCGCCACAGCGGAATGAACCGCCAACTTATCCAGCATATGTTTTACACAGCGGATGCCCTTCCAGCTTTAAATCCGTTGGGAAACATCCATACACACTCATTCACACTTTTACCCTACAACCAATTCAGTTCATATACTATAGCGACTGTGGACTGTGGGGGAAACTGGAGTACCCAGAGGAAACCCACGCCAACACGGGGAGAACATGCAAACTCTATAAAGAATGCCAACTGAGCCAGCCGGGAATCGAACCAGCAACCTTCTTGCTGTGAGGCGACAGTGCTAACCACTGAGCCACCGTGTCGCACTAACAAACATACACACAAACACAGACAAATACACACAAACAAATACAGATGGAGACAACACACACACACACACACACACGCACACACACAACTATGGTCAATTTAATATAATCAATTCACCTGTACCGCATGTTTTTGGACCTGTGGGGAAACCGGAACACCCGAGGGAAACCTACGCCAACACGGGGAGAACATGCAAACACCACACAGAAATGCCAACTGACCCAGCAGAGGCTCGAACCAGCGACCTTCTTGCTGTGAGGTGATTGTGCTACCCACTGCACCACCGTGCTGCCCTTCTAATTCATTAGCAACAGTGTCTTGTGTGGGATATTTTTGCGTATTCTGACCTACAATATCCGAACAAACAGCTATTTTACAAGAAAACAGTCTTGTGCATAGTTGTCTATCCGTGCCAGTTTCAGACTGTTGAATGAGGTTTTGCAATTCCAGATTTCACTACTTCCAGATGCGAAAAGCTCTCGAGTAAAACATGCTCCATACAAACGTATTTCTGCCGTGTGTCGCGTGCACTGATCCACACGTGAGTTCAGCTGCGCTCTCATAGCGGGGAAATGAAAACAAAACGTTCGTCGCAGCAGATTATAAATACAACACTGACGACCCGTATCTCCAAACAATTCTTCTTCTTTTCCCACTTGTTTTGGCAACACAACGTGGCGTCTCTCTGCCGTCTGAACAATGTACAGGTATAAACAGTCTTCGAAACTATCATGCATATTAATGAAGTTGCACCGCATACGCAATGGAGCGTGCTGAATGGTTTGAACCAAGTCTTACTCATGAAAGAATGCTGCACACTCAGAAGGCTGATTTATACTTCTGTCGGTGTCGCTGTCGTGCACCTCTCAAAAAATGTAACTACATGTCGCTACGACGCGTAGCGCAAGCTCTGTGATTGGTCGGCTTGGTAGCACTGACGAGTCTCAGCAGGACCGAGACCCACGTGAATGGTGCGAGCCCAATAGAGCGATTGTTTACAAGTGTGGAGTCCCGTGAAGGAGCTCCGGATGGAAAGTTTTGTTTTGTGTTTACCTCATAGTTAAAGTTGTTGCACGTCCGCCGGTTCCTGCCTCAAAATGAGCGAGTTTGAGCCACTTGTACATCCCGGAAGTGTCCAGGAAAAACAAAACACCAGCGAAGAAACTCGACACAGAGGAACATTTACACCTCACTGCCCACTAACGTTTCGCAAGTGTTAATGCAGACCAAGAGAGAAAGCGCGCAGAAGTATAAATGCACAGCCACGCGTGTTGCATGCGCCGTGGGTTACGCCGGTCTCTTGACGCAGAAGTATAAACCAGGCTAGAGACGCAATACGGTACTCCCAGGTACAGACGTGTGGCCTACGTGCTGGAATACACACTAAGAACTCATGGCCGTGATGCAGCTTCAAAAATTAGTTTCAAACCGGAAGAACGAATTTGCTCGAAATAACAAAAACAACCAGTTTTCACTTTTTAGTGAGATATAGGTGTCTTAATAGTGTTTTAAGCAGCGTGAGACACGTATACGACTGTCAACAGCTCTAAACATGTGTTTTGGTGTTTCGTGACCCTTTAAGAATTATTTTAAATGTGTTAATATGAGATTTTTTCTATCAGACAATATCTTTTCCATTCTCCACTGAAATTTTTTTTACATTATTGTTATCATTATTATATTTTATAAGGGATTATTTTATTGTTTTTTGATGATTGATAAGTAAATATAAATAGCAGTGTAAATTCATTTGTCTTGAAATTTTTTTTGTTCTAATGTGACATGTTTCTGTCCAATATTACATGTTCTATGCATACCGCCACTATAAATAAAAGTGATTTTTTGAAGGTTTCGACATGTGGCCCTTCACTTAGTTTGCAAACTTGATGTAGCCCTCAGGTCTAAAAAGTTTGCCCACTACTGCGCTAAGGAGCTAGAATTGGGACTTGGCATTGGCAACCACCCACAAGATCTAAATTTCCTTTATATCTGAACCAAACCTAACCCTGGTGCACTGTTCAAATCAACTCCCCTGATATGTTAGGGGCTGGTTTCACCCCGTTGACTTCCACTATAACGCCATTTTTTGATTGCAAAGCCATGACAGCATATAATCATGCATTCTTGATTGTTTCTGGTTTTCGCTGTTGGGAGGAGATCAAATCTGTCATTTTTACTGTTAATCATCAGTTGGCAGCATTAACCCTTTAGATAATTAACCTGCGCAGACATTTCTGACTTTTGTATATAGTTCTGTGGAGTAAAACACATACACTTACTATGTTTACTATGTTCTGAGAGCTGAGCAGCTTATTTTGATTCTCAGACATAAAAGTGTACAAAGGTCTCTCATATGCATGTACACACACTTTATATACAGTTTAAGTCAGAATTATTCGCCCCCCTTTGAATTTTTTTTTTCTTTTCCAAATATTTCCCTAATGATGTTTAACAGGGAAAAGCAATTTTCACAGTGTGTCTGATAATATTTTTTCTTCTGGAGAAAGTCTTATTTGTTTTATTTCGGCTAAAATAAAAGCAGTTATTAATTTTTTAAACAACAGTTTAAGGACAAAATTATTATTAATTATTAATGTCTACAGCAGTGGTCACCAAGCTTGTTCCTGGAGGGCCGGTGTCCTGCAGATTTTTAGCTCCAACCTTAATCAAACACACCTGAAAAAGCTAATCAAGGTCTTACTAGGTATACTTGAAACATCCAGGCAGGTGTGTTGAGGCAAGTTGGAGATAAAACCTGAAGGGACACCGGCCCTCCAGGACCGAGATTGGGGACCCCTGACCTACAGAATAAACCATCGTTATACAATAACTTATCAAATTATTACCCTAACCAGCCTAGTTAACCTAATTAACCTAGTTAAGCCTTTAAATGTCACTTTAAGCTGTATAGAAGTGTCCTGAAAAATATCTAGTCAAATATTATTTACTGTCATCATGGCAAAGATAAAATAAATCAGTTATTAGAGATGAGCTATTAAAACTATTATGTTTAGAAATGTGCTAAACAAATATTCTCTCCATTAAACAGAAATAGGGGAAAAATTAAACAGGGGGGTGAATAATTCAGGGGGCTAATAATTCTGACTTCAACTGTAAATACATTTTTTGCAGCGCAACTGATGACCAACAGAGAAAATGACAAATGTTACCTCCTCCCAAAAGGGAAAACCAGCAACAATCAGGAATGCATGAATATTTGCTGTCATGGCTTAGCGATAGTATAATGATAATGGAAGTCAATGGGGCAAAAACAGCCCAGAACATAACGAAAGGCGAGTTAATTTGCCCAGAGTGTATTTTCAAAGCATTTCTCCAAAATATGAGCCAAAATAATATCTCTCACCAAAAATCCTTCCATTTGCTGAAACACAGAGAAAGTTTTGTCCAAATTAAGACTCAAAATCAGCCCAGAGTGAACAGCACACAAGAGTTAAACACAAAAGTGTGACGGTTCGTCTTTGCATCTTATTTTATGCTCATTATTCTCATTTCATTGCTCATAATAACTGCAGAAGTACTAACAGGGAAGCACTTACAGATTTGGTGTGTTCTGGCCGGGGGGCGATGACGGGTGGCGGCGTGGCTTCATCCTCTTCCTCGTCCTCATCCTCGGAGACGGTGGCGACGGCGGGCGTTTCAGACACAGTTTTGGGGACCTGCGGAGCGGCAAACAAACGGAGCAGAAAGTGAGGCTGAGCCACGGACATCACAACATGAGTGCAAAACAGACCCGACGCCAACATGCCGACCGCCATCAGCCAGTCGCCATCTGACCATTACGCACACACAAGCACCGGCTGGCAGGGAGTTCACTGCACATCAAACCTGAGCTACTGATACACACATACACTCAGCAGGAGAAACAGTGGAAAAGATGCTGATTCACAGTGCAGAGAGAGAGAAGCGGGAGAGAAAGAGAGAGAGAATGAGAAAGAGAGAATATGAGAGCAAGAGAGAGAGAGAGAGAGAAAGAGAGAGAGAGAGATGAACCTGCTGGCACTGCCTAGAGTGACTGGCATCATTTGTGTCCTTCTGTTGAGTGGGCAGCTCTTATGAGACTCTGTCACCTTGCTGCTTGTGTTTTTAAGGCAAGACACTGCAGGTGAATCAGGTAAAACAACATTATAACAATTAACAGTCATCACTAGAGCTGGGCAATAAAATCACTATCGATATTAATTGATTGAACACCGTTGTCAATATCAATAGAAAAAGATGTGGTATGTAGTTTCGGTATGAAGCGTGATAGTTTTATTGAAATGAAGCAGTGCCAATAAGCTTAGGGTGTAAGTTTTAGGGGTGTCACGATTTCGATTAAAAGACCGAAATTTATGCTCAACCTCGATTATCGAATCAAAAAATGGAATCGTCGATGCTGCCACGCCCCCATGTCACGTTAGCTTGGCTTGCCAAGCGGAAAAAAACATGCTTGTTGAAGTGCTTGTTAAACTGCAGACACAGGAGACCCGTCGACAGAACTTAAACCCTCTCCTCTTTCAATGAAGTCGCCGGTGTGGAAGTATTTTGGATTTCCAGTTAGTTATGTTGACAACGTTCGTGTTGTCGACAAAAAAAAAAATACAGTTTGCAAGCTCTGCTATGTACGTATTACGGTTGGGATGATAGACAACACCGGCATCGCGATCCTACGCCCCGCACCCGTTGCAAATCCGCTCGCGAAAAATACACACTCAGGCCCTGTTTACACTAATATGTCTTTGTTTTTAAATGGCATTTTAGAACGACAACGATCCACATCCACACTGGCGTATAGCATTTCTGAGCAGCCCTCCTTCCTCACTACCGCTGAAAATGCACATCACGTGACCACACACACTCATTCACACAAAGATACAGACAAACACACATTGTCATTCGCTCAAGACAGCGGGTCAAGGCAGTCAGCGGTTCAGTAGACTGCTTCCATCTTTTACTTTCACACAAGTACTTAGTCATTTTAGCGAACACCTCAGATACTGTTGGCTGGTTCCTGTTGGTTGTGCGTCTTTTTTACCGACTCCATTATAACGACACAGATCACTGCCTATTCACGAGTCCCGCAGAAAAAAAGTGATTGACAGGTTGTAATTATGTGTGTAACTTGCCTTCATTCATTTACTGTGTGATTTGTTTATGGGTAAAACAAAGACCATGCAAGTCAGGTAGTTTAAACGGTAGGCTACTAATAATTGATTTGTTATTAATTAATTAATTATTCATAATCGAAAATCGAATCGTGACTTTAGAATCGAAAATGTAATCGAATCGAGGATTTGGAGGATCGTGACAACCATAGTAAGTTTGTCATTTCCAATGGAGACGCGCGACTTGCACAACGCACATTTTCTAGGCGCACCCAGTTAAAAAAAATCTAAACTTTTCTGAATGCCGCGAGGGCACCTCAAGTCATGTAAGTAGACCTAACCAATCTGCTTTACAGTTTGTATGGAATATAGAAATTTCAGTAATAACGGCAGACTAATTACCTCAGACGAACACTGCAGAGCTTTTTATGTTTCTCCATAGACTTGTATCAGAGCTATGTTTCCATCTACCTATTTTTATGCGCATTTTGCATATGTGCATAAAAACCAGTTGATGGAAACCTGATGATGCGCATACATTTTGAAAATGCGCATCAAAAACTTCTACGATAACTGAGTAGGACAAACTTTTTATTCGATAAGAAAAGATGCGCATAAACTACGATAGAAACACTTTTACTGTACAAATTTCAGTATGCGCATTAAAAAAGGTCAGGTGATTTTGTTATAAGAGATCATGTGATGATGGATATGTGTGCAAATGGATAAACCAGCAGGCTGAGCGCATAGTAAAACATCTTAAATGTAAGAGCCTTACTGTTTAAGTTTTAGTATTGTTATCTTATTAATCACCTCCAGAATCAAGAGCGTCTGTGCTCCGCATGTGTCTCACGGCTGCAAACGTCACCGTGCATTCACTGCGTGTCAGGATTGCATTCTGAGGCGCAAGTCATTTATTAGATGAAGAAAACACTCACGCAGCTTCTCCTACTGCAGCAAATTCAGTTTTTACTGTTGATATTTGACGCCAGTTAATCAGGGAGTGACGATTTTGTTCGCTTTGACTCGTTGGATGGAAACGCTGCTTTATTGGCACGTCTTTTACGCGATAATCCAGTTTTGCGCATTATTTATATTCACATCTTTAGATGAAAACATAGCTAATGATTTTTATTTGTCTGTTTGTCATCCTCTGAAAAAACGGTTGATGGTCGTCTAGTCATGAGAGATGCCAGGAGAGCACAAGCGCAAAGTCCATTCTAAATAGTTAGGGAATCTACACGCACGCACTTGTCACTAAAGGTCAGAATGACAACACATACAATAATCAGACCCCCTAATTTTTTTACGATTATTTTGTGATTTTTCGCAATAAAAATTACTGATTTTGTGGCGGTAATTCTCCGAAGTTTGCAGACAATTTTGCTATTTAAACATATGGAAATAATTATAGAAAATTATATATATATATATATATATATATATATATATATATATAATTTTTTATATTTATTTATATATATATTTATGTGTGTGTCTGGACTCTGTAGCATCCAGCTACATGTTTTTTGGTAGGTCTATTTAATCGCACGTCATGCGGCACTTATGTCTCATCACAAAGAGGCAAGCAAAACTGACATCTAGCCAACAATCCTTGCACAACCTACGCTTTTATCTGTTATCTCTCTCTCTTCTGATAGTACCCAATTTAAACATGAGATTTTGGAAACCAGATCTAAATTTAGCGGGAACAGTCGGGTAGAAAACGGAGTGGGTCGGGCAGCGGGTGAACAAAGGCTGAATATACTGTACGGCGGGAGCAGTTGGGGGCAGAATAAAACCTGATGAGAGTGAGGCTAAAAATTCAGTCCAGTGCAGATCTCTATTTAGGAGTCTCTTTAACACTTATGTTTATTTATAATAAAGAGATGACATATTTTGTTTAAATATTTTAGATTTTGTCTATTTAAACTATTTGCCTTAGTAATGTTGGTAAATTAAAATAAAGTGGTTAAATAAAAAACTCCTAATATCCCTAAATGTATTGTTAAAAAATATTCAATAATTATCTATATCGAATGATAAGAAACATAATATTGTGATAATTTGTTTCGCAATATCGCCCAGCCCTAGGTTCGCAAGTGTGTTCCATGTCAGCATGTCTGTCTTTGTTTTGTACTCTATAACCAGCCCACTGCCAGTTTATTTAGCTGTATTTTAAACATATATCAATGTTAATTATATTTTAATAAATTAAGAAAGCAGTGCACCAAAAGAAATAAGTATATTTTGGATGTTTTCTTCACATAACACTGAAGAAGAAAAAAAAACACTTTATGAAGAGCCAAAAAACTACAAATCTGAAAATGACAGGTGTGTGTGCCTGCAGTGTCTCTCCTTAAACACCCTTTGCGGCTCTTTCTCTCCCCCTGCCCGTCTTCTGTCACTCCGTACTGTGAGCCAAGAGGACATTTGTCTACATTCACCTGCTGACCTCAAACTGCTGTCAGAACACACACACACACACACGCGCGCACACACTTACCACTGCGCTGGAGGAGTTGAAGTTCTCCACACCTTTATCTGTAACAAAGAGGAGAACAATGCGGCATAAGGAACACACACACACACAGCCAAAATAAACACATAAGTATAACTATTTACATTTATATATAATATAAAATGTGGTTGAGGCTAAATTTTGTTTAGAAGTTTTAATTAAAAAAATTAAATTAAATTAAAGTAATTAATTAAATAAAGAACAGTTTTTTAGAAATATTGATGGAGTAATTTATTATTCGCTATGCTTATCTGGCAAAAATGAAGCCTATTATATTATTATATTTACGATACATATACACCCAGATATATATTGAGATGAACACAGGTACATTAATCATACAGATTTGCAACTGTTTATTCCATTACATATTATATTTAAGTGACAATTATTAAGTGAAATAACTGTTTTAAATAATAAACTGGATTTTAAAATGGCTTTTAAAAAATGAAAAACTGCTTTTATTCAAGCCGAAATAAAACATGTAAGACTTTCTCCAGAAGAAAAAATATTATAGGAAACACTGTGAAAAATTCCTGAATCTGTTAAACATCATTTGGGAAATATTTGAAAAAAAAAATAATAATAATGATAATAATTCACAGGAGGGTGAATAATTGTCTTCAACTGTGTATGTGCTGTACCTGTAAAGCTCATGTATTTCTGGTTGTTGGACGTCTCTTTCGAGTCGTAGAATTTGAGCACGTCTAGAACGGCCTGAGGATTCTTCTTCTGCTCCAGTTTGGTGATGTTGGACGTCTGGAGTAATCGAGCCCACTGCTCAGGCATGCCCTACATACACAAACACAGAAACACCACTGAAAACCACTGCAAATCTGGGTTATCTCAAAGCATCTGGCTAAAAGCAGCTCCCAACTTGCCCATTATTTTGAAGATTTTTTCCCTAAATCAGCAAAGCAGACCTAAATATAGGACTGTTCTAAATTTTTGCTCCAAGATTATTTCACAAAGCATTTTACTGTTAAATCTAGGGTATAAATCAGTGAAACGTTAGAAGTGAAGAGGATTCATAAATCGTCAAACTTCAAAC